CCTGAAGGCCAACGTGTGCTGCCTCCCATCACATCTCCAACCTCACCCCACCACTCAGCCTTGCTGATCTCCTTCCTGTACTTCAAACACGTGAGGCACATTCACCCCAGGGCCTTTGCTGGGGCTGTTCCCTCTCTCTCTGGAAATCTCTTCTCCCAGATGTCCTTGTAGGTTGCTCCCTCTCTACCTTCATATCTGTAGTGAAATGTCACTTTCTCAGTGAAGTCCTTCCCAACAGACTATAAGCTCCATGAGGATTTTGATCTCTTGTTCTGTGCCATCTCCAATACCTGTTATAGCTGAGCCAGCCCCAAATAGGCCGTAAACAATGAGGAGCTGGGCCGGGGATTTAGCTCAATGGCACCACGAGTCCCTTGAAAGTGCAAGGTCCCAAGTTTGATCCCCACTATCAAAAACAAAAAAACAAAAACAATGGGGAGCTGGTTTCTTAATGCATCGGTTATTTTCACAGCGTCTTGTGCACATTCTGAGTACTCAAGACATCCCTCCTAAGAGAAAGAATGGCATGGGAAGTTGGCTTGATGAGAGAAGGGTAGATGAGAGTGGAGAACAATGGCTGGAGAGCTTTCTACAGAGGCAGAGCTGTTGGAATTTACTCTGGTGGTGATGAAGAGATCTTCTCATGGGAGTCCAAGCAGGAAAAACTTAAAAGAAAGATCTTCTCATTGCATTGGCTGGTAGCAGCCCCTCCTTGGCCCTGGAGTCTTGAGAGGTCACTGCTGTTTACAGTCCCCCACACGTTTGTTCTAAGTTCCACATTCATGGGGTAATCTTTCACTAAATATTTTTGAGAGCCCATGATGTGCACAGGGCTTCAACAGCTTTCTAGGAAAAGTTCAACCAAAGATGGATTCTGTCAGCCTGGCAGAGCTATGTGGCTGGGTTCCTAGCCTTTTCTCTCTAGATCTCAGCTGTGGACACAGAAATCAAGGACAGCCTCCCTCGCCCTGCTCTGTCCTCATCCCTGGGCAGAGCCAAGTGTAGACTCCCTGCCCACTACTCCCTTCTTCAGATCCTCTCTCCTCCCAAGGTTTCAATTCAAGGTCAACAAGGTGGGGACCATCTAGCCCTCCATCTCCCGCTCTCTTCCACTGCCGGCCTCCCAGTCTCCTAACCGCATGCCACCAGGCAGAGCCCCCAAGCCCCCCCAGAGTCCCTGAGTTACATCTATTTCCAATCACAGGGCTGTGAGAATGTAAAATCACACAGCATGCCTTTCTTTGGCCCTATGCCTACATTTTCATTCCTCAAATTGCTTTAAGTTATCGGTCAACAGATGTGGTCAAATCACTCATCCTATCTTCAGCTCAGAAACTGCCAGTGCCTTTAGAGAGAAAGGATTGGGTTGATGCCTGTCTTTGGGGAGCTGGAGATTGAGGACTTTTAGGATTTTGAACTAGCCTCTTCCTTCCTCCCTGCTTAGAAACCAGGCACGATCCAGTTGCCCTAAATAGGTGCCCAGCACCCATTGCCTGCCCAGCCAGGCCTCTCATCACAAGCCCCTCTGTTGATCACTGATCTCTCTTCAGTCTTTCCAAGCGGGGAAATGGGAAATGATCCAGTGGGAGGGGCTCAGGACTGGGTTTGGGGATAAGGTGACAGACAGGGTAGGTCCCTGTCTTTTTAGCGATCGCCCAGGGGAACATTGCACATACTGGCTTTATCAACTAATGCTGGAATGGCTGTTGCCACGGCAGCAGAGCACTCCCACTGCAGAAGAGGATGGTAGGAAACTGGATGTGAAAGGAATGGAAAAGAGCCAGGTAGAGGGAGAGGTCACATTAGAGAGCATCAGAAAGTTCCAGGATTCGAAGAGGACTATTTAAAGAGAGCACTACCTGGCTTGGCAAGATCCCTTGAGTGACAGGGTCAGCCCCCAAAGGATGGCACTCCAGGGATCCACCCTAAGTTAACTCATGGGCTCCAAGTAGACATGGGTTTCCACCTCAGAAACTGACAGGTGGTGCATCCTGCAGGGGGCAGTGGGCATGAGGTGTACATGGTGGGCAGGTCTGTGCCTCTCCCCTGGGGGAGCTTCTCAAAAGAAGCAGAATTTCAAGAGCTGTTTAAGGAAAGGAGGAAATGGCCTTGGGATTTGGGGGAATGTAACATCCCATGAAAGGGGGCAGAGAGGAATAAAGAGGAATACAGAGAGGAGGAGGAACTAGGCAGAAACGCAAACCCAAAGGAGGGACGAGATAACCAGGCAGGAAGGAAGGAAGTCAGGTCCCCAGGGCAGTGGGCATCCAGTGACTGGACATGCAGGTGGACAGAGCAATGAGGGAATAGTGTTTCATAACAACGCTAAAGAATTTAACCACCAGAGATGAGGGGCCAAGTGAAACCAGGGAAGAGAACATGAGGTTTTGCCTGCACTGGATGGAATGGGTCATGGTGGACATAATGCTTTTCAACCAGGGTGGTTAGCAGTTAATTTATGTTTGATAAGGAGATGAGTTTATATGCAGGAAGAGAACTCACAGACAAGCAAGAGCTACTGTAACCTGATAAATCAGACTGTAGATGTCCTCAGATTCTCCAGTTGCTGTTAGGAAAGATGGGGTTCCCATATGATTGATGCAGGGACATCTTGGGTAAATTATACAGTGGCCAATGAGTAAGGGTGAGGACTGTAGAAATGATGGCTTGTGGCTTCATTACACATGGCCTGTGGGTGGGGAAGAGGAGGAGGATTGTACTAACTCAAAAATTTGGCACTAAAGGTGGGGCTTCATCCCTTTCATGAGCTGGAACCTCATGTTAGGCATATACACGAGCACTTATAGTGTCCCATGACTGGCCTCGTCCTTTGGGGACTCTGGCATGATACCACTTATGTCCTCTTAACCAGCTCTTTTCTGCTTGTCATTTCCCACCTGGACTCACAAACCCTGGTTCTCCTTGAGTTTCTAAGTGGTGGATGCAGGCCTCTAAGGATAGTAGGCCTTGTGTTCTCTACCGTGGGACCTTCTGGTGAATCCTGGCACCCAACTCTGTCCCTCCACCCCTTTGAGCCAGCAGCTCATGTCATTCCTGCAATTAGAACATACACACACCTGTGTCTGTCCACTCATGATGAATGGGTGGGACATTCCTTTCTTACAGGGTCAGATTATTATTTCCCTGAGTCTTGTATTGTCTGCCTGATATTTCCTGCCAGACACTGAGTTCCTTGAGGGCACTTTCCCTGTATCTCCAAGGCCAGCCAAGAGTCCATCCCCTTTTCTGTTTGAGAATCCTATGTTCTCAGTGAGTCTGCTCTGATCCTTGTCCTCAAAGATTTTATGGGATCTCCATCCAGCCCTGGGATCATGGGAGGCAGGAAGTCTTGGGGTACAGCCAGGACCTGAGAGTCATGCAGGATACAGAGCCAGTGTGCAGCCTTTAGGCCTCCAAATCCATTTAACCATCACAGCTGCAACACCTGCACCATGCAAGCACTGAGGGAGGCAGTTCCCAGCTCCTGTGCAGGTGCATCCATAAGCACCTCTCACACCGGCCAGGCCTGAGGCTTGTGCTAGGAGACAGGGACACAGAGGTCTTCAGATCCTAGTGGGAAGGAGAGGAGGAGCTAGAATGATGGAGGCTGAGGATGGGGTGGGAAGTAATCTGCTGGTTACTACCTTCTGGCATGGTTCCTGAGGCTTTATAGCCCAGCATATAGCAGTACCTGGAGCCTGCCCTTCCTGGAGCATGCTTGCCTGTAGAGAATTCCCCTCCACTCTCCTGTCCATTGCCTCTTCTGAAACCTCTGGCTTGGACAACCTGACCCTCACTCGGGAGGCCATGGGAAAGTGGGGAGTGTCACCCTCGACTCCACAGAGGGACAGTCCTAGGCAAAATGCTGCCTACTCTGCCTGGCTCTTGCTCCCCTTCCCCCTGCCCCCTCTTTCCTGGCCCTAGGCAGCAGGGGAGAGGAGCAGGGCTGGGGAAACGTCCTTTTAAATGGTTCAGCAGCCCTGTTTCAGCGATGGCAATGCTAAGCCTCTCCTGAGTCCCTAGGTTTGACCCAGGACTTGAAGGTTCCCAAGCCCTTTCACCCAGAAAGCTGGTATTACAGAGGGACGGCAAGCCAGAGGTGTCAGTGACTTTGACAAGGTCATGCGGGCAGCTGGAATGGGAACCCAGTCTCTCGGTCCCAAGGGCTGGTCCTTTCTCCCCCAGTGCCCTGCCTTCTGTGCTCAGGACAGCAGCACCCTGCGTCTCCCACGTAAGGTGGGAAGGGTTTCCGGGGTAGGAGCCCAGCTGCTCTCCCTTCAGCCAGCCCTCTTACCTGGCTCCATCTCCTCAGCCGCCGCTTTCTCCCGACGACGACGCGGCAGAGGACCACCAGTACCCTCCGAGAGCCCACCCCGCCGCCACGCTGAAAGCCAGGACAAACACTGGTCCTCTCCTTTATTAGCCCCCTACCCCCACTCACCCACCCCCGGAGCTCCGCTTGCGGATACCTCCCCCTCCCGAGCCAGAAATAGACACACACCGTCCCCCCACCGCCCTGCCCGCCGCACACTCCTCCCCTCCTCCTGTTTGCTCCCCGCCTTCCCCTCCCCGCCTTCCTCCCTCCCTCGGAGCTGCAGCCCGCAGCCTTTGCTGGAGCAAGCGGGCGAGTGCAGGAGGGCGCTGCCCGGCGGTGCCCAGCCCGCCGGACTGGGAGGCCCGGGAGCCGGGCGCTGCAGCACCTCGGTCTTCGAGGCAGCCGAGGGGTTTCCATCCTTCTTTGACCGATTTTTAATTTTGCATTTCTCTCCCCGCCCCGCCCCTTTTCCTCCGACCCCGCCCCATCGCATCACGGCTTCCTCGCTCTTTCCTTTTCCCCGCTCTTTCCTTTTCCCCGCTTCCTTCCCTGCGTTTCTTTCCCGGGCGACCGGCTCGCCCCCACCTCGCGTGCTCCCACCCCCTCCTCTCCCTTCTTCCTCGGTTCTCCCGCCCCCTCCCCTCCTCCGCCTCCTCCCGCCCCCTCCCCCGCCCTGTGCCTGCAGACGCGCGGATCGTCCATGCGCTCCTGGCGGGCAGAATGCTGGGCAGCAGCGTCAAGAGCGCGCAGCCCGAGGTGGAGCTGAGCGGCGGTGGCGGCGACGAGGGCGCGGACGAGCCGCGGGGAGCCGGCAAGAAGGCGGCGGCGGCGGACGGCCGAGGCATGCTGCCCAAGCGCGCCAAGGCGCCCGTCGGCGGCGGTGGCGGCATGGCCAAGGCCAGCGCGGCCGAGCTGAAGGTCTTCAAGTCCGGCAGCGTGGACAGCCGTGTCCCCGGCGGGCCGCCCGCCTCCAACCTGCGCAAACAGAAGTCGCTCACGAACCTCTCCTTCCTCACGGACTCCGAGAAAAAGCTGCAGCTCTATGAGCCCGAGTGGAGCGATGATATGGCCAAGGCCCCCAAGGGTTTGGCCAAAATGGGGTCCAAGGGCCGCGAGGCCCCGCTGATGACCAAGACGCTGTCCAAGTCTGAGCACTCGCTCTTCCAGGCCAAGGGCAGCCCGGCGGGCGGCGCCAAGACCCCTCTGGCCCCTCTAGCGCCCAGCCTGGGAAAACCCAGCCGGATCCCGCGCGGACCCTACGCCGAGGTCAAACCTCTCAGCAAGGCGCCGGAGGCGGCGGTGAGCGACGACGGCAAATCGGACGACGAGCTGCTCTCCAGCAAGGCCAAGGCCCAGAAGGGCTCCGGGCCGGTGCCCCCCGCCAAGGGCCCAGAGGAACGCGCCTTCCTCAAGGTGGACCCGGAGCTCGTGGTGACCGTGCTGGGCGACCTGGAGCAGCTGCTCTTCAGCCAGATGCTGGGTGAGTCCTGCCGCCCCGCCCCACTCCGCCCCTGGCTTTCTCCTGGCCAGCTGCGGGGGAAGGTGGGGGAAAGCAGAGCTTTCTTCCACCTTCCCCCTCCGTAGGACTCTGCTGATCAATGGGCTGGTGAGGGGGGGGGCCTTGTGCGCAGATGTGCAGGGCTGGCCCACCTCTAGTTGCGCATGGCTACGCGCGTCTTTGAAGCGCTAAGGGCCAGAGGCCAGGCGCTGTTCTGGCCTGTCTGAGATGAGGCTGGACAATGGCGTGGGGGAGCCAGGTTCTCAGATATTGAGCCCATTGGCGTCCTGGAATTTTAAAGCCAGAATCTTAATGTGGCGAGATCTGGGGCTGGTGGAGACCTCGGCTGTGGAGACAGGAGAGCATCAGCATTGCCAGGGAACGTCCTCTGGTGAGAGCCTGCATCCACAGGACAGATGTGGGGAGAGCAGATGTCAGCGCCAATTGGCTCTGGAGCTCAGCTGAGGCTCCACTTCCTCTGTGGATCCCGAGTGGGAGAGCGAGTTGGATTTCCCGGGTGTGGGGTTTTTGGCAACGAGAAGCGTCTGGGGCTAGGAGCCGGGCGGGCAGCCAGCTGCGCGCATCTGGATGCGCGTCCCATACCTCAGCCTCGGCCCTGGCCCCAACCCCTGATCCCCCACCCTGGGTCTTTTAGAGAAAGGTCTAGGTTTTTGCGCCGAGACTTAGGTTTTACCCTTTGGCTAATGGAAGCGGAGCAGGCGGGAAGGGAAGAACAAAGCTTCCTCGATTGGAGGAAGCAGAGAGCTGCTCCATTGTTCTCCGAGCCTGAAGAGTCCATGCAAAAAACCCGGAGCGCCCCCCAAAACTGCGCTTGCTCTCACTAGAGACCCTGCCCTCAGGGACGGGTGCATGGAGGATATTCTGGACACCGGGCTGCCAAGCTTCGGGAGCCGCGGGGGCAGTGGTGTTGGGGCACGGGAGGACGGCGGCTGGCGAGGCCTGACAGCCGCCTTGGCTGCGCGGAGTTGTTGCGGTGGCTGGGATGTGGGTCCTCAGGCGCGGGTGCCCTGGGACTCGAGCTTCCCAGTCCCCTACAGGCTGCTCGCCCCGCTGGGGCTGGGAAGGGGCGTGTCTGTGCGTGTGAAGGGGCGGGGCCGGGTGACGGGCTGCAGTCTGAGTGACGGGCGGGCAGCAGGGACGGATGGGAGAGCTCGCTCCTGGCCGACCTGTAGAAGATGAAGCTGGAGGAGACTGGCTCGGCCTGCTGCAGTCTTCCTAGGCACCCCCTCCACCCCCAGCTCCGGAGTGAGCCAGGATGAGGGTCTTCTGAGCAGGGACAGGGATTTTCAGTCCTTCTGAGAACTGATCCTCACACAGGAGGCCGCAGATGGGCTTTGCAGCGGCAATCAGGAGACTGGACAAGGGCAAAACGGGAAGAGAGACTTGTCCCTGGAGAACCCCTCCTGAAAGCCAGGACTCTGTGGGGGAAGTAGGGATGGGGATGGGGCAGTGCAGAGTGGCAGGGCAGCCTCGCCCTGCGGAAAGGGCTTACCATCCTGTGCCCAGGGCCTGCTGCAGCTGCCCTCAAGGAGCCTGCAGTTCAAAGGGACAAGACAGACAGCAAGGGGAAAATAAATAAAATGATCGCAGACCCAGAGGAGGGCTATGGAGAAGAAGACTGGATTGTGTGCTGGGAGGGACTGTTCGGAAGGGGAAGCTTGCTTTAGCCCTGCTGAAGGCAGAGATAATCACATTGTGACTGAGGCCTGAGGAGCAGGCACCAGCCTGACGGGATGAACGTTCTCTGAGGACTGAAGGGAGGAGAAGGGGACCTTCTGTGTGACTTGTGTTGGGTACAGAATAGCCAAGGGCACAGACCTGCTTTCAAGGTCAGGGCTTCCCCTGTTTGGGGTGACATAGCCTGTCTGGCCCTCCCCCACCCTGGCAGTGCCCCACACTGCCCCAGGAACCTGCTGTCCTTTGAAGGCCTCGTACTTGCTTCAGAAGAAGCATGGCCACAGAAAGCCTAACAACTAGTCCTAGAATTGGCTAGGAGAGTGGGAGGAGAAGCTGAGCTGTCATCCCTTATTCCTGCTCAGCGGCTGTCACTTCTCCAGGGACACTTCCCTGGGAGCCTCTCAGCAACCATGGGGGGAGGGAAAGAACACCTCTTGGGCTGTCTAGATGGCTGGATGGAGGGTTGAGAGCGAGTCACCTCTGACTTGATGGTGGCAGGGAGATTCTGCATTTGCTTCCTCAGACCTGCCTCACAGATCCTTCTAGAAGACTTGACTGAGAGAAGGGAGAGGTGGCAGATGCAGAGGGCCCTGACCAAGGTGGTGCCTGCTGGCACGGACCACCGGCGCTGTCCCATGACCATCAGGGCAGAGGGACTTTGCTCTTAGGTGAGGGGCAGTGAGGTTGGGAAGTTGGCTGAGCTGACAACTGTCTCCAGCTGAGAGGTCCAAGGTGGGGCGGGGCCCTAGGAGGCAGTGCTTGGCATCAGGTGGATGGGGTGACAGCTGGTGACTCCAGGCCAAGGCTTTCTCCTGTGTAAAGATGGAGGGTGGATTGATCAGTGAGGGTGCAGGGGAACGTAGAAAAGATTTGCCTCTCGGGGCCCGTGAAGTGTTCCCATGTCAGGACGGACCCTTGGTGGAGAGCAGGGTGGCTCCACGGAGAATGGCTGCCCTGATGTCTCAGGACGCTGGCTAAAGACACAGAGGATTTGCACCCACCTGTGAGGCTCATTGTCAGGCTAGGCTCCCTCTCTGGTATCGTCTCAGACCCAAGAAGCTGCCAGGACCCAAGACCCAGTTTCTGAGGCAGATGGTAGGGGGAGGGGAGGCAGCCCCAAATAAGAGCCTTTCTGGACTAAAAGGAAAGAACTGAAACTTGATCATCCCCTTTCCAGAAATCAGCTGGGGCCCAGATGGTTTAGATGGGCTCCCTATGCCTTCCCCATCTGTGGAAGCTGCCAAGTAATAGGGTCCCATTGGGGAACTCTGGCAACTTAGAAGATTGAGGGGTGGGTCTAGAGGAAAATGGCCCAATTCCAGGAATCAGAGGCCTCAGTCCACATCATGCAATTTGGCACCCCAAGGAAGGCTACCAAGCCTGGGTCTGGGGCAGGGCTGGAAGATGCATTCCCTGATCTCCCTGTCCAGAAGTCCTAAACTCTGGCTCCTCTCCTGGGGCTTAGTTTCCCCATTTGTGAGTGGAGGAGACCCTTATATGACTCATCCTTACCCTGGAGGGATGGGGTGGTGATTAGACCTGGAAAATGTCCCACATGGCTTAAAGAGAGCTTATGTTGATGCACAGCTTTGGAATACTACAAAAACAGCTTAACCCCCACTCCTCTTCCTCACTGGCTGGTCCTGGTCTAAAGATCTTATATGAGATCAGTCAGTTGACTCCCCCAAAACATTTGGCTTTCCCCTCTTCTGGCCTCCAGGAAAAAAGCACCCAATGGAGCAGTTAAGATTCCAAGGTCAGAGGGTGAAAGAACCCAGAAACTTGGAGTCCCTAGACCACTATCTCACCAAGGTGTCTGGCATCCAGGGAGGGCTTGCAGTGACCACAGGCAGACCTCAGAATTGCAGGTTAAGTAGAAATGAGGAGGAAGGCGGGAAGCTATTCATTTCTAAGCCATTGTTGGGGGTCGCAGCTACGGGATGAGAAGAGGTTACTGCAGAGAATGTGCTCGGGGATATTTGGGGGTGAAATACCTTCACACATACTTTTTTCCCTTTTTATCTAGTATTTTGGCGGGTAGAATGGGCAGAGGAGATGTGAACTCTGCAGAAACCTGCTGGCCAGAGAAGTAGGCAACGTGGATGGGCACATACCCAGCATCCCAGTGTTGGGGCCTACCCAGAGCCATGCCTGGTATTGCTTCCTGGGCCTAACAGGACAGTGTGGATGATGCTCATTCCTCCCCCTCCCCTGGCAGGGCAGGCTTGTGCCATCACAGGCTGGAGGAAGGGCTGTGTGGTAAGGTGTAGGCCTGCAGGTGCTCATTTATTGTGTGGAGCAGGAACCGGCCCACAACCTCAGCTGCGAAGCCTCCTACCTTCCTCAGGCTTAGCACTCAGGAGAATGTTTCTTTTTCTGTCACATTGAGGTTGTTTTCTTCAAAGGCCAGGCTTGGGCCCCAACGCAAGGAGTTGACAAGGGGTCCTGCTCCTCCCCTGTGGGCATTGCCTTGCTCAGATTGCTGCAGCTGGAGCTGTTCTCACAGGGCAGCCCAGGTTCTGCCTTAGAGTAGGTCCCAAGGCAACCCCTCCGCTCTGAGGAGACAACACAGATGGAGCAGAGATGCTGCTCCCATTCCAGCAGCTGCTCTGCTTCCCTGAAGCATAAACTGACCCAGGGAGATGCCCTTTCCAATCAGTGGTGGCTCCAACCCCAAGCACAGGCCTTTGTAGATCTGGATTGAATGGGTAACAGGGCCATGTCACCTGAAACACTGGGGTGTATCTTGACCCGTCCCTCTTGTTCCACATTTTCCCACTCCCTTGCCCATTCTGCTTCCGGGGCTTCCACTACTTACCTCCTCCCTGCCCTCTATCCCAGGCTGCCAACACCAGACCCTTCCTCTTCTGCTAACCTTCTATCCTGCTCCTCCCTATAATGTCCCTCCACACACATCCATCCCTTGTAGCCCCTAGCCCCTGGCCTGAAGGTCCAAGGTGCTTCCTGGGGCTCTAGGGAGAGCTAGATCCTGCACCAACCAGGCTGAGTAGAGACCCCTGGTCCCTAACTGCAGCTCAGCACCCTGCTGCTCAGCCACCTCTGCAGCATACTGCAGTGTCTCCCTGGATAGCTAGCGAGAGAGAAGTCCCTTCTCTGCAGAGCACTCCGCCTTGCTCAGCCTTCCATGCGATTTATTTCATAGAGCCACAGAATGAAAATTGTATAGTTGAGCCTCCCACTTAAAGCTGAAACTAATCCCTCTATAGCATCACAGGCAGGTGGGTGTTCTATTTACTCACTCCAAGTGACAGAGGGCTCACTACCTTATTTTCCTGGAAAGCTTTCATTACTAGAAAGATCTTTTTTTATGTTGAGCCAAGATTCTATCTTCTGGGAATTTGCATCCATGACCTCAAATTGTTCTCTGGATCCTTCCAGATTTAGCTAGTGCCTTTCACAGGTTTCTTCTCTTTGAGGTCAGACAGTTATCCAAGCTCAATGCCATCGTTTCTCCCTTGGTCCTCTTGTTCTTCTTCTCCTTCTCCTCTCCCTCCTGTTCCTTTTCCTGCTCCTCCTCTTTCTTCTTCTTCTTTTTTTTTTTTTTTTGAATAAGACCTGATGGGAGAGAGAGGAGCCTGGCCTGTTTACCTGGTTCCTAGGCCCAGTAGAGTCTAGCTCTGCCCCTCATCCCATCCCCTCATAATGTTGGCATCTCAGGTGGCTCCTGTTGCAGAATTATCACACCTGGCTGCGTTTGCTCCTGGCCTAACCTTCCCCACAGCCTTCTCCCTCTGCCTGAAACCATCGCTAGCCAGCCAGTGGAGGGGAAATGGACTCCACATGTTTCTCATTTGCGCTGGCTGACCTCCCCCCACACCCTGTTTGGATTACCCAGATGTGTTTGATGTCCCAGGAGCCTGCAGCCTTCTCTCTCTTTACACAGGAAGGGCCAGGGGGCCAGGCCCTGCTCATGCCCCTTGCATGAGCAAGCTCCCTCCAATAGGAGTCCCTCAAATGCTAGGCTAGCCCACCACCTTCCATACCTTCCTCCACACTGGCTCTTCTAGGGCCTGGCAAGCAGGAAAACAGAGCCTCTTGGGTTCAGTTTCATCTTGTTCAGTGAACTGGGGTCTTCACTTCCTTCTGACCAGCAGAGATAAGGGTGCAGACTGGAAAGATGACCCAGGAACTGTTTCTGTTTCCCCACTGGAGGCTGAGGTAGGAACAGAGATGTTCCAGGAGTGTCCAGCATGACTGTCCGTAGTGATATTATGCCTGGATAAGTGGGGTGGGCTTGTCAGCTTTTATATGCACCTTTTCCCCCAAAATTTTACATGTCTGGCATGTGGAGTTGCAAACTGCATGGGGTAGGAAGCTCTGGTTAGGAGAGAATGAAGACCTGCTAGGAGTCTGTAGACTCCTTGAGCCTGGTCCAAGGAGGACCAGTGTTGGGAGGGGAGAGGGTGGCACACATCTGTGGGCTACAGGTTCACCCTCTAAGAGCTTGGACTCCAGCATGTTCCAGGCTCTTGCTGTCAACAGTGCTGTATACTTTGTGTTTGACACCAGTCTTTTTCAGCTCAGCTCCAGCCAAACCTCAGCCAGGCAGCCAAGAATCAGCAGAGGATGGGCCTTGGCCTGAGCCATCCGAGAGTCTATTTTTGACATCTCAATGATACATTTCAGGGCCACTGTGATGGGTGGTTCGCCATAGAGACTTCTAATTTCTGGGCAACATCTCTTGCTCTGGGCTTCTCGTGCTAGCTCCTGTGACTTGGGGATGTAGAAAGCAAGAACAAGGACAGGTCCAAGCCCCGGTGTGCTGTAAATACTCCCACCGATGGTCCCTATGGAATTCCAGACCTGTCCTGAAGGTTGTTTGTTTGGGATGCTGGCATTGCATGTAGTCTGGTCTAGTCTTAAGTTACAGGTGCTTCTATAGAGAGCCAAGATCACACGGTTAGCTTTGAGCTGAGCAGTAAGATAGTGAATGTTAGGAGAGTAAGGCTGAGGCTCCTGCATGGGAGGCGTGGGGTTAATAGGTTGTATGGCACATAGCATAGACTCTTTCAAGTTGAGTGAGGTCGGTGTCAGGGTGTGAACACAGGGTGTGCAGTAGATTGTGTTTGCAGGGATCACTGCATATAAATGCTTGCACACTCACTGGCTTCCAGCACATATGCATATACCAAAGGTACATTTGATTGTGTGTGTGTGTGTGTGTGTGTGTGTGTGTGTTTCTACACAAGAGCTGGACAGATTTAAAAGAGTGAAATATGAGCATGGTGGAACAACTTCCCCCAAACAGACTCCTGGGCAGGGGTTGTGGGGGTTCAGACTCCTGGCTTCTTTCCCAGAAAAGCACTGTAAGTGCTGCTTCCTCCTCAGACTCAAAGTCACAGGCTCCCTTTGCTCTTGGTGATCACTAAATAGACCCTTTTCCTTTCGGAGAAGCTGGCAGGCAGCTGGGAGGCCCTGCCCTCTTGTTGCAGAGTCCGTGAAGTGCCTCGAAGCCTAGGATTCCAACATCCCCACAGTGAGGAGCTCCCTCCTGGGAGCTCCAGTACCTGGCTCTTCCAGGGCAAATAAGGAAATATACAAAAAAACTCAAGTGTACAATCAACTCATAATGACACTTACCGAGCACTTGGTGTATAAAGGCATTTTTCTTATTCCTTCAGCGTTATAAGTCACTTAATGCTCACAAAAATCCTGTGATCCTGAAACTCACATATGAAGAAACTGAAGCACTTAAATGTAAGTAGTCCACACAAAGCCCGTAAAGTAAAAGAGCAACAGAGCCAGGATTTGAACTTAACCCCTGGGAGGTACTGCTTCCAGGAACCTCAGGACTCCCTCAAACAGTTTGATTCTGTTTTAGGAGCAACTTGCCAGGCAGTCTCTGGGCAAGAAACTGTGCTCCCAAGATTGAGGCTTCATGGTGGCTTTCTAGTTGATAGGCTCGCTGAGGAGCAAAGACATCTGTGCTCATTCCAGGACTAGGCAGGAAGTGGTCTGTGCTGTGAAGAAGTGAGAAAGTGTCCGAGGAGAGTGAGGCTGCCTAGAGCTAGAGTCTGCGTGTGTGTGGGCAGGGGACACTCCACAGGAGGGTGGGATTCCGGCAGCAGAGACAAAACGAACTGGAAAAGAAAAGAGGAGGTGAATGAGAGGCTTGATAGTGGGGTGGTGAAAGGTCCTACCTGGAGGAGAGATAGGGAAGGGGAGGGGAGGAAATGAGACCAGAAAGACGGGTTGATCATGGCTGATGGGAATGATGCCTTGGGATGCTGCTGTAGGCTCTGGGCAGACAATTAAATGGAGGAGAGAAATACGGGTTTGCCCCCCAAATGAGCCCCAAAGCAATCCTGCATCTGCTCCCTCCTTAGAGAGGTGGGTGACTGCTGAGGTTAGCTGGCTCAGTTCTACATCTCTGCTGGAGGGAAGATTGCCCTTGCAGCCGCTGCAGTGTCCCCATAGGAAGCACCCGGGGAGAGGCCATCCCTGTGCTCAGAGGTTATCTCTCTGATTAGCAGCACCTCTGATTAGGCCCCGCTGCCCAAGGTGCAGTGTTCTGCCCTGTCCAGGGATTGGTCCATCACTGCCTTAGCCCCAGCAGTGCCCTGCTAAAGGCAGACCCATGACTTACAAAGCACGAGCCAAGCTCCACTCAGCAGCACTGAAGTATGAAGCCAGTTTGGAACTAGACCATGGGGTTTTGCAACTGCATGTAGTTTTGAAGCAGGCCTAACTGGGATGGGGGCTACATTCCAGCTCCTAAGTTGCTTTTTCAATCCAGAATGCCTTCCTGAAGGAACCAGGAAGTTGGGGAGCTATTTAAAGGAATCAAGCTCTTAGGTAGAGAGAAGGCATTTCCAATCATCCAGCTTTGTTCAAAGGAGGGTAGGAGGACAGGATGGGGGACTAGCTGGCTTGGAGCCTTCAGAAAAGATGGTTCTTAAGGGAGTAAAGGAAGCAGGCTGCCCCCAGGGTAGGAAGACCCACAAGGAGTGAGAATGCCTCTCACCCTGGGCCCAAGCCTTCATCTTCCTGTGTTCCTTTGGGATGCCACAGCTGTCCCAGTTGCCATGCCTGAGTGTTGCCATGAGATTCTGTTGTTATGGGAGCCAGGGTGTTTTGTCATAGAGGATTTGGGCATCCCCAGCAGGTATTGTCCTAGAGTTCAGGAGTTGCCACAGGGTGTAGGCACTGCCCTACTGTTTTACTGCTTCCATTGGGTTTTGATATCCAGGGGTTGCTGCAGAATTCGTGGCCTGGCCTCCTTCCATCCTGCTCCTGGCTGTAGGACTGGGGGGAAAGAGTGACCACAATAAGGAAGGAAGCGCTGACTGTCCATGGTGGAGGCAAGAGGCCAGTGCTGCTGCTGCTCTCTCAGCCGTGGTGAATGGCCGAAGGTGGCCCTCCTCAGCTGCCAGGCAGGGGCAGTCCTTGTGCTGCCTGACATTCTGCCAAGTCAGTGAGTTTGCTTGCTGCTTAGCAGGTAGAATAGGGTGTGCTGCTCCTGCTGGGACCTGCTGGGCTCCTATGAGCACTGGGGCCAGACCTATAAGCATGGAGGCCTGCTTAACATCAGGTCTTCCTGAGGTCTTTCAGCCCAGCCTGTAGCTTCAGGACCACCAAAGGGCCTGGCTGCAGAATTTGGGCTCCCTGGAAGAAATCATTCTACTTGAGGCTGTGCATTTGTAGATAGGTCAGGTACCTTTATCCTGAGGCCCTTAAGGGGACCACTCAACATTGCCAGACTTGTCTGAGTCCCTGGACATCATCAACAACAGTGACTAACATTTATTGCCCACTCGCTATTTGCCAGCTGTGTCGAGTACTTTGTTTGCATAAACCCATCTCATTCTCACGATGAGATATTAGTCAAGGGTCATACTCAAAATATTAACAACCCTGGCTGGCTGCAGAGCCATAGAACTCCTGGGGCGTCCTGTTCTGCCAGATGTTAAGTCTGGGGCTACTGGATTGTCAGGGTCCCAACAAGGATCCAGCTGGCCAGCATGCCAGGGAAGCATGGGCGTGGGGGGGTGGTGTCAAAGAGGCATTTACTGTAAGAGAGTGTTTCATATTATTGAATGACCAGGATGGCCCTACTGGTACAGTTCTGTTGGCTGGTAACCCCACTAGTAGGTAAAATTTAGATGTGAGAAGACTTAGGGGAGCCTAAGGGATGCTAAACAGCTTGCCCAAAGGCAAATGCAAGTTCATGGTAAAGCTAAGGTTCAAGGAGGGCTTGATTCAAGCTCCCACATTTAGCCACTGGGTTCTTGCATGTGCAGCAGCAACTTTTTTCTCCCCTTGCCTGTCTGTATTTGAGAGCTCTTAGGCTCAGTCAGTTTTGCTGTGGACCTGCAAACCCAGGTCTGTAAGATCGGGTCTCTCCTGCACTCTGCAAACATTCCAAGGTGCCATTTGCCAGGGACCCTGCCTCCAAAGCCCTCACCGCCCACTGTGGGACACAGGCATGTGGTACTGGACAGAGCAGAGCCTGGGAGCTGCAGGGAGAGAGTTCCCAGGTGGATGGAAAGGAAGAGGCTCAGGGTGGCCTGATCAGGAGACTAGAATGGTCAGGAAGAGTGGGGGCTGGAAAGTTAGCTCAGGATAAGCTGTTCCTCTTACCCCTTCTGGCTGAATCCCGGATCTGCCACTCACAAACTGTGATCTTGAGTAAGCCACTTAGCTGCCTGAGCCTCTGCCTTCTTGTTGGTAGTACAGAGATTAGCCTCCCCAGCTTCCCCATCTTCCCATAATGCTTCAATGAGGTAAGAAATTAGCCTCATGGAAGACCTGAGAGTTATGATAATATTTATTTATTTATGGTTCTAGGGACTGAACCCAGGGCCTTTGCACTGAGCTAAGTCCCCAGCCCCCTCCCTACTTTTTTTTTTTTTTTATCTTGAGACAGGGCTTCGGTGTTGCTAAGTTGCCCGGGCTGGGCTTGAACTGTAATCCTTCTGTCTCAACCTCCTGGTGTGCTGGGGTTACAGTTGTGTGCCACCACGCCGGGCTGTCTATCATTGTGAATATATTATGCATCAGGTACTGTTCTGAGCACTTTACATGTATTGATCACTTAACTGTCAGAACAACAGAATTCGATACTATTTTGCCCCCATTTTACCAATGAGGAACTGAGAGGTTCAGTAACTTTGGCAATGTCACACACCCAGGAAGTGGAGGGGCTTGGGCGTGACTTGCAGACAGTCTGCCTCGAGCACCTGCCTGCCTCCTTAACCACTGTGCCCTATGCCTCTCCCGTGGAGCGCAGTTCCCCAGACCCTTTATTCTAAACATGGTGGTCTTATTCTGAGGTCTCTTGTAAGGCCTCCCCTAGACCCGCTTAGGTACCTACTGCCAGACTGGGGACATTTTGTGGGGTCTGCGGCTGCTGTACTTTCATGCCGTCTGCATACATGTCTTCACCCTGCAGACCCACCTGCACTCTGCAAGAGCTGTGTGTCTGCTTCAGGGAATGGATGTGCCTGACTCTGCATCTGGAGCCCAGACTTCATGTGTCTCTGGGTCCCTGACTACCTGAGATAACAGACATGGTGGCAGCTTTAGAGTGACATATGAGAGTTGTCTCAAGCTTACTTCAGCAGCTGTGGCCCTTTTCGAACCTATTCCTCACCTCGAGTCCAGGGCTGACACTCAGCTCATGGGTCTAGGTCAGTGTGGAGCAGCCGGCACACACATCAGTAAGTAGTTCCATTCCCACCTTCCCCTAGTTCTGCAGCCACCTTCTGCTTTCTCATCCTGACCACTGCAACTTTCCAGACCCTGGTGCTCACCACTGACACCAGTGGACCTTGCTCATAGTGTGGCTCCATCACTGACCTTCTTTCAGCTTAGCTCTGATGTTTTGCTCAGACTCTTAGGTGTACGTAGAGAAGCCCTCTGGAGCCAGCTTAAACAAAAGGGTCCGTTTGTCATAGGACACAGAGCTATCTCCCAGGCCCGGGGCCCAGGAAGCAGCCAGGTTCCCGAGGGAGAGGAGGTGACCTTTCCTGGGTATCCACCTGCCCAGCACCCTTGCTCTCCCCTCTGTTCTGCTCCACACATCTGACTCAGCTCGTTTTGTACCACAGGTGGACTTCTTCTGCCCCCTGTCCACATGGCAGAAAAAGGTTGTCCACAGCTCCAGGCCTCCTCTACCCAGGAGATCAGCCAAGTAACCAGGAGAGGAATAGACTTGAACTGAGCCATCATGAGGAGAAAAAGTTGGCGCTGTCAGAGGTTTTAAGGTTTTATGGCATCCTAGTACTTACTTAAATGAAGGTCAAAAGTGAACAGCAAGGGCTGGGGGTTTGGCTCAGTGGTTCCGCCACCTGCTTTGCAAGAGCAGGGTCCTGAGTTTGATCCCCGGTACCGAAAAACAAAAGTAATACATTAAAAGTGAACAGCAGAGCCTATTTTTAAAAGTGAGTAGAGCCAGGTATGGTGGTGCATGCCTGTAATTCCTGCACTTTGGAGGCTGAGGCCAACCTGGGCTATTGCAGTGAGATTCTGTCCCAGACAAACAAACAAAGTGGGGAGACTATGAGGTGTGGAGGATTGTCAAAGGGCAGCACTTTTAGTTCAAGTTCGTTCCTCATTCCCAGCCCAGGGTCTGGTTCCTATCTAGATTAGAGTGAAAACTGGCAGTGTGCTAGTCTCTGAGCAGAAACGAAGACTCAGCTCTGACCCCTGCCTTCACGCTGGGCTGTGTAGCCTTACACTGGCCAACAATCCTCTGGAGGTCCTGGTAAGTTCCTCCCAGGGCTGAGGCATGAAATCCGCCCTGACGGCCTGTTACCACATCTGACAGCCGGGAGGACATCTGAGGAAGAATGAACCCATGACACCCCAGCTCTTCCCTGCTGTCACGGGGGAACAGGTGAATGGGCTTGGTGCTGACCCTTATTTCTCATAAGCATGGGTTGGGCCAGGGTATTAGGCTTAGAGAAAGGACCTCTCGGCCTCCTGCTTCTGAGCTGGAGGAGCCCAGCCTGGGCCTGGGCAGAAGGTGGATTCCTGCCATTTTCCCACACTCTGCAGAGATTTAGTTTCCTCTTGAAATCATATCTCTGGATCACAACTGTAAAATTCTCAGCCTCTCAACTCAAGCTGTTTGCAGCAGCCTAAGTCATTGTCCTTATTCCCTTGGGGTCCTAGGAGGGAGGACATAGAGTGTGGTGGCCAAGTGCATAGACTATGGGGTCAGACAGACCTCAGTTAAAGTCCTTGTTCTGCATGAACTAGCTTTGAAACCCTGGGCCAATTACCTCTCTGAGTTCAGTTTCCTCATCTGTTAAGTGGGTCAAATAATATCTATGTTTTAGGGGTTGGGGTATAGCTCAGTGGTAGGATGCATGCTTGACATGTGTCTGCATTCAATCCCCAGCAAAAAGGGAAGAAAGGGGGTTGCTATGATGGTTAAATGAGGCTCTGAGCACAGTGCCCAGCACATTGAGAAGCACCCAAAATAGTACATGCATGGTAGTTTGGTATTGTTATTTTATTGCTGTCTATCCACCCTGCCATATGAGGTTGCAAAGAAAGAAGTCCTCAGGGAGTCCTCAGTCTGAGGTAGGAGACATAGGCCTGGTTGTCCGGAGCTCCTTGTCCTGATGGAGGAGACTCAGCCCCTCAAGTAAGCTCAAACATCCACTAGTCAGACAGAGACGCACAGCTCTTGTTTCAGGGAGCTCCTGTGCTCCTTGGCTCAGCAGCCTCCAGCCTGTCTGACTGCAGAGTCTTGTATTTTCCTGGACCCCTCCTCCTGATCCCTTGCTGCCCCTAGCCTGCCTCTTTGTCACCAGGCCACTCACCCCCTCGCTGCTCCCCTGCCACCGGGCTGACGTCTCCCTACCTCTGCCTCTCCTTTCCTGTCATTGGGCCCTGCTTCTGCCATGCGGTCTCCTCACATCCACATCTACCAGGTGACTTGCTCATCAGGCCCTGCGTGTCTCCCCCAGGATGCCAGCTCCTCTCTAGACACCACCCAAACCGCACACA